TTAAATATGTGAGAAGATCCAATGGAAGGATGATTAAATTTCAAGATTGTGTGCAAGATGCTGGAATAGACACAACAATTCGGTTAAGATTATATGTTTCTACCAGGTAGAATTCGACATACTTAATGCTTGAGAATGCAATCAAGTATGAAAAAGCTTTTGATATTCTTCAGGTGGTTGATAGAAATTATAAATATTGTCCATCATATGAGGAATGGAGGAAAGGAGAAAAATTATGTGAATTTTTAGAGCAATTTTATGAGACTACAAATATGATTTCTGGTTCTTGTTATCCAACTTCAAACTTATATTTTATTCAAGTTTGGAAAATTGAATGCTTGTTGAATGAATATTTATTGAATGAAGATGATGTTATAATGGGTATGGCTGCAAGAATGAAAGGAAAATTTGAAAAATATTGGAAGAATTATTGTGTGTTGTTAGCTTTTGGAGCTATTCTTGACCCTCGTTTAAAGCTTGATTTTTTAAAATTTTGCTATACCAAGCTTGATCCTTTAACCTCTCACGAGAAGGTCAACAATGTGAAGGATAAGTTTGATAAACTTTATGGAGAATATGCAAACAATTTTAATGCTACAAGTGGTTCTCAACCTTTCAATGAATCCAATTTATTGTCAAAGTCACATGGAGATGGAAATAGGTCAAAGAAATCAAGATTGTTTAATGTATGTTCTTTTATGTCATTTTAATTATAGTGTGTTTCTTATTTTTATTTTGTTTAAAGGGTTATTATGTTATATTTTGCAGGAGTTTAAAATGTTTCAAAATGAAACTAAGTCTACCATTGGTAAGAGTGAATTGGATTTGTATTTGGATGAGTCATAAGTTGATTATGATGATACTGAAGAATTTGATGTGCTTTATTATTGGAAAAGTAATGAAAAGAGATTTCCAACACTCTCTATATTAGCACGAGATGTGCTTAGCATTCTAATCACTACAGTAGCATCAGAATCTGCTTTTAGCGTTGGTGGACGTGTTCTCACTAAATATAAAAGCTCTACACTTCCAGAAAATGTGCAAATGTTAATTTGTACTAGGAATTGGTTGCATAGCTTTGTTGAAAGTCCAAGTGGTAATATTTATTCTAATCACCTTTGATAATTATTATATAATTTGTACAAACATATTATATTCTTATTATTTTTGAGTTTTAGATAATGATGAGACAAAAACACTAGAGTCTAGTATGCAATAAGATGTTGAAGACTAACAAGCAGGTGAAGTATAAATCTATTAAGAATTAATGTATTGAGTTTTTTTTTTTTTACCAATTGCTTTATCACCTTTTTTATGTTTCTTTCAGAGAAAACATGATAGAGGTGAATTGACACTTGACAATTTTGATGTGTTCAACATTGCTCTTCAATGGATAATGATGAATCATGCATGTTGACTTTGAGTATTTTACTGCTTCTTACTTGTGTTAAAAAGACAAAGAAGTCTTTGAAATTAGTTTTGTTTATAGTTGGACTGGTGTTCTTTTGTTATAGATTAAATTTTACTGTTAACTTATTCCACCATTATTTATAGATGGACTGATGTTTTATTTTGCTGTTATTGCACTAATGGTTAATAGTTAATTATAAAATTAAATTTGAGTTGGAAACTTGTAATTGTTACAAAATTTTGGCCCTTGAAGCCCTGACCCTAACCCTAGCCCAGTGGGCTTTTTAGCCCATAGGGCTTTTGATTTATTGGGCTTTTTAGCCTATAGGGTTTTTTGGCCCTAGCCCAAATTTATTGGACTTTTTAGCCTATAGGGTTTTTTTGGCCCTAGCCCACCTGGGCTAGGGCTAAGGTTGGGCCAATTGGGCTTTTTGACAGCTCTATATGTCTTACCTCCTTCAACACAAGCTTACTCCCTGTGTTTGTTGTCAAGACAACATCTCCTATGCCAACAATCTTACTTGTGACATGGTTCCTCATTTTAACTGTGCCAAAGTCTCCTCTCTTTTAATTTGAGAAGAAACCTTCATGTGGACTCACATGGAAAGATGCACTAGAATCTACAATCCATGAATAATCACCATGAGCAACATTCAGGTAACTATCTTCTCCAATGAGGAAGATGTCATCATCGTTTGCTGCAACAGCAGCAGTAGACTTATCATTTTTCTTGTTGGACTCCAGTTGATCTGCGTGGACGGTCTCAATCTACATTCGAACTTTATATGTCTTGCCTTCCCACAATAATAGCAACTTATTTTAGAACGGGACTTGGAACATCCTTTCTTTTTGCTTTTGCCTCTTCTATAAGACTCATTTTTCCCACGGGTCTCGCTTCTGCCTTGTCTATCTACAACATTTGCCTCAAACTGGAAAGGTATCTCATGCTTCTTTTGTCTAGATTCTTCATTCAATAGACTTGCTGAGGATGACCACCAAGTGTCCCAACTCTCGGGCAATAAACTAAGGAGTAGAAGTGCTTGTAATTCATTGTCTATCTTCATTTCAATCTTTGTTAATTGATTGACAAGACCTTTAAAAGCATTCAATATGAGTGGTCTTCCATCATGTAACTCTTTGCAATACAAGTGGTCTTCCATCATAGGCTTCCAATATGAGTAATTGTTTGTTGTCAACTTGAACATATCTCTATCATGTAACATGACTCCTTCCATCTTAAATCACACAGGCTTTAACTCCCTAAACCAGGTGAGCTCTAATACCAATGTTGGGAAATTAGAACAATTTTGAGGAAATGAGATTTCCCTCCGTCAGTGTGACTTAAAATCGGCTTAAGAGAAAGTAAGAAAAGAAGAGAAGAACACACAAGAATTTTAACGTGAAAAACCTCCTCAATGTGAGAAGTAAAAACCACGAGCACTAGCCAATAAAGATCTCCACTATAAAAGCAGGATTACAATGATTCTCTCTTAATATAAGAGGATAACACTCAATCTCACCCTTCTAGGATGGTATACAAATTATCTCACCAAAAATGATGAAATCACTCAATTTCTCTCTCAAAGAGAATTACAAACACACTCACTTTCTTACTCTTGATTCTCAACTCTTTAGTTGGATTGATTGCTCAAGCTTCTCTCAAATCCTCTATTTATAGTAAATGAGTGAGACTTCCACCAAGAAGAGATAGTGGATATTAAATGAATTTCACCTTTCTAAATATGAATCACCACATTTAAGATGAATGTGCATGTTCTCAATAGTCAAGATAATAATTCTAAGACACTGAATAAATCCATTATTTCTTTCCCATGCATGAATGTATATGGGAATGTATCTAATTAATTAAGGAGAGATAATTCTAACACACTGCTATGCTTCACTTCTTGGTGGTTTATTTTGTGAGATTTTTAAGGGTTTTGAGAGACCTTATCATGGAGCAATTAAGACTAGTGAGAAGGACTTTTGTTGAACCAACTTTTGGCAACTTTTGAATGAATATGATTTTCATTACATTTGTTTTCTTTGCCTATTTCGTTATATGTAACTAAATCCATAACTAAGACTATGATGAATCATTTGCACACTTTATTTGATCTTTCTGTTTAATTACAATTTTGATTTTTTTTTTCAATATTTTCGTTTTTGTCCTAGCATGTGTATGTTTTTATGTTGGAACTTAGTCATTCTTAACATCTCATAGTTGATTGCATAATAAGTGATCGTGCCACACATATAGTTAATGAAATTATAGAATAAAATGCGAGAAGAAATTAAGTGGACAAAACTTAGTTTTCATCTTTTAATTAGTTATTAAATTAACAAACTTATAACCTTCATACTATGATGACTACATCTAAGCATACAAATTTTAGCATTACATAAGGCAATTCGAAAATACATTTAGTTAAGATATATGATTCAACATATGTGAGAAACTTGTCATTTCTCTTTGAAAAAAATAACCCCCAACAATTATGTATGAAGATAATGTTGTTACTATTATTTAATTGAAAGAAAGATATATTAATAAAACAAAATAAAACATATTTTTCTAAAATTCTTTTTTATCCATTATCTTTTAAAGAATGACAATATAAATATTCAACAAGTTTGTTCATGTGAGAATCAAGTAGATATTTTCTCAAAGTCACTGTCAAATAAATTTTTTGAATAATTAGTTCACAAAATTGAATTTTGCGTCTTAAAAATAATTGTTTACATTTGGAAGAAAATTCAATATGTTATATACTTTTTATTTCTTAGTCATAAATTTTTTCATTAGATTTTTTGAGCAAGGTTTTATTGAGGTAGTATTTAATAATATATTAAAAGTTTTTCGTTTTCTATCTCATAAAATTTTTTTAGTTAAATATTATGAAACACATCTTAAATAAAGAACATTAGTATTATAAATTAATATGAGTGAATGCTTATTTTCTTTTTTTTTTATATTCTTTAAAATTTAAAATATTGTAACTATTTATTTAATTCGCACTTAAAAATATGAAACTCTTAACAGTAGATTTAATCTACCTTATTTGTATTAAAAATATGTGAAATACAATTAAAATTATCTATTTTTCTTAACATTGTTCTTTTTAATTTTTTTATTTGTTGATTTTTTATATTAATTTTATAATGCATGTATAATTATTAAATTATAAATAAGAAATACTTGGTATAGATTTTAGAAATAAAATATCATGTATGAAAAATAAAATTGATAGATAAGTAAAATAATTTGTAAAAGAATTAGAAAAAGAATTATGTTAAGTTTAAGTATATAAAAAAACATATTTATTACATTAAAATTTTAAAATATAGTAAATAATTTTTAATAAAATTTTATCATTATAATTTATTTTAACTGAGTTCTAAAATTTGAGATTAAGAATATTTAAAAAAAGCAATGAAATTGAAGGGCGAATGTAACTTCAAGACATGAGAAAACCCCTTTTAAAAAGGGCAGAAGAAGAAATTTGTAGAAAGTAGGAGGGTGAGGGAGCGAATGTGAAGAAGAAATAAATAGGCGTGGAAGGGAGGGCTAAGGGCAATAATAGGAAACAACCTCAAATCCTGTTGTGTGTAGATTAGAGGGAGAACTCAAGATTACCCCTTTACCCGAGTGTGTGACTCTCTCTCTCTCAAGGCTACAACACATCATTGTTTTGGCGGTAAAACATGTCGGGGAAAGGCGCAAAGGGGTTGATCACAGGCAAAACCTCTGCTACCAACAAAGACAAGGACAAGAAGAAACCCATTTCGCGTTCTTCTCGTGCTGGCCTTCAGGTCCTTAGATCTCACTCTCTTTCCCTTTCTTTCACCTCTTTCTTATTTCCTTGTACATCCACATGTTTTCTCTCTATTTTTTTTTTCTCTTTTCTTTATCCCTTATTCTTGTGGTAGCACATTGTGACTCATTATGAGAGTTTTGGTGTGCATTTTCGGTGGTTCTTGTACGACATTTGAACTATGGGACGAAAATCGAATTTTCATAAATTGTATATATTTTCTTTTAAATCATCTAGAAGGTTTAATAGGAGCGTCAAGCGTGCTGAGTTAGTACATTCGATTGTTACGTACGCGGTCACGACAACAGGAACCCCCTTTTATATATATATATATATATAGACTATACCCTCTAAAGTGCTTGAGGAGCCAAATCCCATATTAAAATAAGGGTTTACCGCATAACGCTTTTGAGCTAGTAGTGGGCTAATGAGTAAAAGAGATGGACTTACGAGCATTTCTTTTTTTTTTTTAAATAAAGTTTGGCGATGTGATTAAATCTTGAATATGGATCAATAGTTCCTATTATTTTGACTTATTTTGTGTCCTTGTAAATTTTGACCGAATTGTGTCAATCTTGCGTTTTATGTAACAGTGCTTTGCTTGTGATATTTACATGTGTATAGTTTTGGATTATTATTTTTAAATTATTTGAAAAAATTTCTACTGTTGATATGTTTAGGCATACGTAGTTGTAGAGTTTAAGCACTCTCATCCAAAGTCAGGTAATTTACTTGCGTATGAGTTTGGACTGTCTTTTTATTTTTCATTTCCATTTAATCGTTATTAAAAATTCTTAAAACATCGCAGGTGCGATTGTGATTTGAAACAGTTAGTATTTTGTTTAGCTTAATGCTGATGAGAGGTATACTTAGCTATGCTTTTGGTCCTTCTACCTTTTGTATGATTGAGGGCACTGTTTTGAGTGACCCTTAGGTAGTGAGTTGAAGCTAGTTACTGTGATCATTCATTAATTAAACAGTAACTTTTAATAACAGTGTCTAAAACGTAAGTTTTTTAATATAAGAAATAGTTTGTGAATGAGTGTCAATTATATAGACCAAATGTTTTCTTAACGTATTGATACCTTAGGCTAGTGACTGGCAAGTGGCATGTTCTTCTTACATGAGCTGCTGCTTCTATAATGTTATTTGTAGTTCCCAGTTGGTCGAATCCACCGGCTGTTGAAGTCAAGGACAACAGCTAATGGTAGAGTTGGGGCCACAGCTGCTGTCTACTCTGCTGCTATCTTGGAGTATCTCACTGCCGAAGTATTGGAGCTGGCTGGGAATGCTAGCAAGGATCTCAAGGTTAAACGTATTACGCCGAGGCATTTACAGCTAGCAATCCGTGGGGATGAAGAGCTGGATACCCTTATAAAAGGAACAATTGCTGGAGGAGGTGTAATTCCTCACATCCACAAGTCTCTTATCAATAAGTCTTCCAAGGAGTAGATTACTAATGAATAATAGCTGCTTGATGGAAACTTGTCTCTACTAATTTTGTATTTTTCGCATGCTCTTGAAAAAGCGGTAGGGTCTTCTATTTATTGTTAAGTTGCTGTTGTTGATCGTGGATATTATACTTAGTTTCTTTATCAATTTAGTATCTCTATCACTGAAAATCTTAACTGTGGATAATGTCATTTTTCTTTTATTTTTAATCCTGGGATGGCTATTTTATGTATTTGGCGTTGCATCTTAACATATGAAACATTTTGGATGTGTCTCGTCTTGTAGGTGAATTCCTTTCCTTGTCTTGCTAGTAGGCTTTGTTGTTAAAGGTTGTTTTTTTCTTATTATTGTCAGCCTATAGGAGATGGTGTTTGAGCTTTGTAAAGTATTAAATCCTTAAGACTGTTGGTCCAATGGCAGCATGGTTATGACAAAGGTACTGATTGGTGTTGGCGTGTTGTCTATGATTGTGACATTCAAAGTGGCCATTGTGATGAGTGTTGTAGTGCAGCAAACTAGGAGTTGCGATATGGTACTGCATCTGCATTTGTTGCTTTCGGTGATATTGTCACAATTCAATTCTGATTATTGTTTTAAATATTTGTTCGGTGGTAACCTTTATTATTCATCTGAAGGTGCCCAAAATTTTGGTTTTCATCACTTAATAAATATATATTAGTAAATAAATTAATTTATATGTTCATTGAGCTACTAACTTGTGAATTCTAAATTCGAAGCCGTTACTGTTCTGCTTCAATTTAATTTGTGAAACTGGTTTATTTGTACTGGTAAAATTTGACTTGTTTTGCTCAAGCCTTCATGAAATATGCCTTTATTTATCAAATAAAATTCTATTGTGGTTTAACTTGACTCCAATAGGATTGCTTTTTGTGGTCTAGACCAAAAAAATAAAATTATATTGTGTGCATGATTTCACACAATTCAAAATAATATGCAAAATTGTGTTAATCGTAAAAGAAATAGGTTCATAAGTGTTGTTTGAATAGAGATAAAAGGTGTGGAGAGAAACCTCAAAGGCATTGGAGGTAAGAGAGTTTGTGTTCCCTTAAGAGTCATCAAGGCTATGAATAATGGGGATGGTGGGTCATAGAAGGTTGGGTCATAGAAGGTTTTCAATAATAGACAAAATTTTGTCCTTTAATTTATTTTTTCTTTGTTTCAATATGATCTTGGATTTTTATTTTTTTTTGGTTTTATTTTTGTCTTTTATCTTTATTTCTTCTTCTTTTCCTTCCTCTTATTTGATAGATATAATTACATTATTAATGAAAAAGCACTAGGCATGACACTAAAATTTGAACTCGTTAGTACCCGTCCAATCTCGATCCATCTGCCCTGCCCCAAAAGCAAAATGATTAAATAAACAAAATAAAATGAAAGTTAACCCCATGCCTTCACTTGAGTTTAAGCCTCGAAAAATGAAAAGCTTTTATTAAATGTGCGATATATACTTCACTTTTCAATAAACTCTTACTTTTGTTAATTACTTAAATCCAGTCTTATAATTTTAAGGTTAGTATTTTTCATAAAATTATTAGACCAACGGTTAACGTTGGGGCTTCGATATTTTTACCATACTTTTGGATGAACTTATTGACCAGATTCAAGAGTCCATGTCTCAATCTATGCTTCTTGCAAACGATAGCCTTAGTGAGGGAATTGAGAGAGGAAATAACTCTACTAAACTACTAAATTAGAGTTGTCGAGAGCAACTATGGTATCAACTGGTTTCCAATGTAGGAGACGATGTATTTGATATACATACGACGCCAGCTGATTGGTGAACACTAGAGATTATATCATAATACAAGTCACACAGTTTAGGTGTCTTGAATCATTATGTAAAGTAACAGAGATAAGAAAAAATAACGCAAAGTTATATGGTATTATTTCAAGCTAGGTAGATGAAATAAAAGAAGGCTTCAAGTGTAATATGCGAAGAAATGGGGTTCAAGCTTGAAGGAAAATTTTATACCATAGCAGTGGGATCAACCATTCTTTATGATACTAAATGCTGGACAATAAAAAGTGAACAAGCTTAAACTAAATATTCTAAAGATAAGAATATTGTGATGAATGATTAGACGTACAAAGTAGATAAAATCAAAATACTAGACAAAGTAAGAATAGTACCTATTAGAAAAATATGACAGAAGTGTTTATAAGATAGCTTGACTATACGAGAAGAAGACAACAAAAGACCTGGTGAGCAGAGTCAATAAATGATAACATATAGCCCAACATATATAGGTAGAAGATTAAAAACATATATTTTTTGGTCAAAAGAAGATTAAAAACATTATCAGAAATGACATATCTCTAAATTGACACTTCTAAGGCCATTCTTGACCTTGTTCCTTAGTCAGATTTTTAGCTTGGACTTTTAAAAGATATTATTTACTTGTTACATCTGTTCCTTCGACAAGGAACGTTTCTTAACTCTAAAAGTGAGTCCTACTCTTATTTTTATTGCATTTACTCTAAGAAATTATTTTTTATGCACTTTCATCTGTCGCCACACATTTAATCCAATAGCTGACTCCACAAAAAAGAACTTCTAGTGTTCAGGATAGCTTCCAAGTCCGAAAGAAAGCGGTTAACGGTTTCATGGGTGTCCTGTGGAAACTGCTTAGAATACTAGGCTTCCTCCGCCTGGTTGGTATATTGGCACCTTATAGGTGCACGTTCATCAGAAATCGGTGTATTTCTATTTCAATTCAAAGGCTTTTTTCAGTCTTTTTTGCACCCTTTCAGGTTCTCTCATCTGGTAGGCAAAGACATTATGAGGAGGAGAAACACCTAGTAGCTCATGATATTTGTAGACATGCAAATACATATATCAACTAAAGAATATACGATTTTTTCAATTTCAACACACAAAGAATAGTAAATGTATCACTTCGTTGGTGTCAAACAAATCATGAATTAGGATTGTAATTACAATTCCGATGCTCTAATGCATTTCACTGCAAGAGCAATAAATTCCTAAGAAAACCAGAAGTAGCTCATGCGCCAGCCCGTCGACTAAATTGTATTAATAACAAAATCTACCCTTCAAGCAAGACCTACCACACATCCCCTCCCACCACTTCAACAGCTACCACCTAATGCTGAAACAAAATTGCTTAAAACTGCATCATTTAGATGGTCGAAACCTTTGGAACATCAACTGGAAACTTGTGGATCTCATCCATCCAAGGGCTCTTCTCCTTGGCAGGGTTGATGGTCCTGAGAGCCTTCCACACTGCACTGTTGCACTTGAATCCAGAACCAAATGCTATCTGCCATGTTCTATCACCCTTCCTCATCCTCCCTTTAGCTTCCGTGTAAGCCAATTCATACCAAAGAGAACTGCTGGAAGTGTTCCCAAAGCGATAAAGTGTCATCCTTGAAGGCTCCATATGCCAAGGAGACAGCTGCAAGTTCTTCTCCAATTCATCCAACACAGCTCTGCCTCCAGCATGGATGCAGAAGTGCTCAAAAGCTAGCTTGAAATCTGGAATATAAGGCTTTATCTTCCTCTTGAAAAGCTTCTTCCCAACCAACGTGGCAAAGAATAGCAGCTGTTCAGACATTGGGAGGACAAGAGGCCCCAATATGGTGATGTTGGTTTTCAAAGCATCGCCCGCAACTGCCATCAAATCTTTTGACAAAGTGACACCCACCTTGCCTTCAGAATCCTCCTCTTGGATAACGCAGCCAAAGCACTTGTCATCAGCAGCCTTATGAGTGCGAACAGTGTTAACCAACCTGTATTTAGATCTTCTTCTATCAGCGGATTTGTTTGAAAGCAGAACTGCAGCCCCCCCCATACGGAACAAACAATTGGAAACAAGTTTTGATCTGTCATTTCCAGGGTACCAATTCAATGTGATGTTCTCCATGCTAATGATCAATGCATAGGAGTTGGGGTGAACTTGGAGAAGATCCTTAGCAAGATCAATTGAAATCAGCCCTGCACTGCATCCCATCCCTCCAAGGTTGAAGCTCTTTATGTTCCCTCGAAGCTTATAGTGATTAACAACCATTGCCGAAAGCGATGGAGTGGGACAGAAAAGGCTGCAATTCACAATCAGAATTCCAATGTCTTTTGGCTTCACAGAGGTCTTAGCAAATAGCTCATCAATTGCACCAAACATAACAAGCTCAGCTTCTTTTCTTGCTTCTTTCATGGAAGGGTTGGGAGGGAGGTTGAGAACAGCTTCTGGAAGGTAAGTGTTATCCCCAAGCCCAGACCTCTCCAGAATCTTCCGCTGGAATTCAAGAGTTTCCACTTTGAAAAAATCACTCATCCGGGACTGCTCCATGAATATCTTCTTTGTGCACTTGCGAGCTTCTTCAGGCTTGTAACATGAGAAATTGACAAGGTACACGGGTCGAGGGCGAGTCATAATGTACAGTGTGGACAGAAAAACAATGAGAGTGGAGCAAAGAATGACAGATATCAAATTGTATTGAAGATGCTCCCAAATGTCATGAAGATCTTTAATGGAGAAGGTGGAGAGCTGTGCAGCAATTAGCACCACGAGTGGGGAAAGAAAGAGGTACATGCCATGGGTGATGAGGTAATGATAGCCAAGCTTCACATACTTCAATTTAACAGATTTCTTGAAGTCTGGAAGGTTCCGTGACGACGGCGGTATCAAGGGCGTGTCTGGTTTTGTCTCTGCCATTTTCTCCTGCTCAAAATTTGAATCTATTTAGTTATATGTTAGATAACTTGCGTAAAATGAAAAGATGAGTTTAAATTGAGCGTTTATGCATCTAGATAGAGGCAGTGAAACAACTTTATTATAGCTTACAATGAGAGGATACAGTGAAGTCCCAGATATAATCCTTTCTGGTAAAAATTTCTGCTTGTTTCAACGAAAACAAAGGAGGCTAAAAAAGGTTGTCTTCTCTACTTTACGAAAATATGAGATTAACTTGAGCATTTATCATGCATAGATAAAGCTGAAACAGTTTTATAGCTTATAATGATATGGCACAATAAAGTCCCTGTAAACAATCCTTTCTGCAAGGAAAAACATTGCTTTCTCAAATTTATGAAACAAAGCACCCAGAACATTAAACCAGGTAGTAGTTTTAATTAAGTCAAAGAATACACGGGGACCAAAGTCAAAGAAATTAGAAATGAAAAATCAAAAGCTCAAAGTTTTCAGACAATCATCCTTTTTAAACAGCACACAGGGCGTAAACCCAGATCAGAATTTCATATGAAATGGAAATCCATGCACACTCTTTTATTAAAAAATATATGTATCTACACAGAGGCATTAACTCACATAAAGAAATCGATATCTCGAATGATTAAACAAAATTACCTTGAAAGGCCAAAGACAGGGGAGATGGCAGCAATGCGGCACGTGAAATGAACGAAGAGAGAGGGGAAATAGAGAGAAAGAAGAAAAGCGATGAGATAAATAGATTCAAATCAGTGGTTTAAAATGAGAATATGAAAATAAATTGAAATTGTTGGGTGAGGAGCGAAACGAGAGGAGAGTTCTGTAACAAAGTTTCGTGACATAAGATCAAAGGATTGTTGGTTACTAATCTATATATAGGCATTATAAATAAGGGTGGGAGGGAAGTAAGTTCCAAACATCCAACGTTGATGCCAAAGCACTTTCATTTTCAAGGGGCGGCGCAGTCCTCCTTTGACCGTTTGCTTCCCATCCAACGGTTCCTATTGCTTCTCCTACCCCTATCCCCACTCTCTTACTTCCCCTTCTTTTTTATACTCTCTTTTATATCATTACTTGTTTGTCCTCTTTACCACGGTTTTTAAAAGTGTAAAAAGTATTTTTTAAATTAAATTTTACTATTGTTAATTTTTATTTAAAATTTGAAATTAAAAATTTTAATTGTAAAGAGAAAAAAATAAATCAATTAAAATTTTATTAGAAGATGGAAAAAATAAAATATTAATTATATTTTTAAAAATGTTAAACGATAGATAAGAGAAAAAGAGAAATACTGTGTAATAGTTGATATTCTAGATAGAATGAACTAAAAATTTGATTTTACATAATTCAGATAATGTAAAAAAAAAAAAACATTTGATGATATGTTAACACTTCACATTTTATTTCTACAAAAAAAAAAGCACGTCATTTTTATAATTTTGATTTGATAACATATAAATGATTGATTTATTAAATGACAAGATATCTCATTATTAAATAATATTTTAGATTTTTTATATATACTGTGCATAAAAGTTAAATTAATTAATTTTATATATTAATAAATACATGAATAAAGAAGACGCTACCTAAATTACTTCAGCAAACCTTTTTTATTTTGATTGTGTTTGTGATTCTTCCTCTTGTTTTGGATGCGAGAAATAATAATAATAATAAATAAATCATTGCGAAAGGTTCGCATGAATTGGAAATCTCATGCCTCTAACTATTCTTTGAGACTTTGACGGTCTAGTTGTTTTCTAGAAGAACTTTAAGTTTCAATTACTTTCTTTTTTTTCTGTATCAAAATATTGTCAAAATAAATTAAATTTATTTTGAAAATTTATATTGTCCGTCTAATTTTAATTTAGAAAATCTTCATCAGACTAAATTGTATGCAAAATATTATTGATGTCAGGTTATAAAAATTTTTAGTCCATATTTATTATTTTTTATGATACTTCTAATTGTGTAGTTTATTTTTTATTTCATATTATTAGTTGAGCGACACAAGAACAATCGAGATCCAAAGAGAGATAGGCTAAATCAACCATTAATTTTTAGTACAAAATTAAATATAATCTTTAAAATGTTTTGATATTATTTTTAATCAAAATTATAATTTTATCTTGATGTTTTGTATTAATTTTAAATAAAAATTAAGTATAATCCTTTAAATATTTTTAAGTACTACTTTTTAACTAAAATTAATATTTTATCTTAATAATTTTAAGACGGGCCCAATGTTTACATAAACTTAAAGAAAATGTTAAAACGAGACCTTGTAATTAGTAAAAACAATTTATTGAAACTATTATAATTTTAATTCAAAATTTATTATTAAATTTTTTTAAGATGTAAAATTTATGAAAAAAAATAATACCATAGGTAGCATTTGACTACTTTTTAAAAATCAAAATTGACTTCAAAGTTAAATTTAAAATTATTTGATAATTTAATAATTTTTAAGTTAAAAGTTTCATTGGAATTAAAAACGATTGAGTAACGTCTTCTTTTTATAGTTTCATTTCCAATTTTTTATTTTAAGTAAAAGATAAATAAAATAAAATGGAGGTTAAAGTTACTATAATAAAATAGGGATTTTTAGTTAAAAAACTCAATATATCCTAATAGACCAACATTATTTTCTAAGTATTACTACTTTTTTAAATATTAATAAAATATAAAGAAAATTGGAGACTAAATCAAAGAGTTTACTTACTATAAGGTTGGGCTTAAATTACTCACTTTAACTTTCTTTTTCTTTTTGAAGCCAGCGACTTTCATTTTTATTTTCTATTTTCTTTCACAACTTTTGTTTTTATCTCTATCTTTGTCTTTAATAAAGATTATTATAAACTAATTTAGTTGACCGAATAAACATGTATTTTATTTTAGTATATATATATATATATAGATAATTTAATAATTAAATATTTTTTATTTTGTAAATAATTATATATATTTAAAATTATTTTAAACTTAACTTTTAAAAAAATTATTTTAATTTAATTATATAATTATGAATATTATGTATTAAAATATAAAAAATTTAATATTTTAAAATAATATTTTTAACGTATAGTGTCAATATTTTAATTAAATTTTAATAATCAATATATTAATAATGAAAAATTTAAAAGTAAATTCTAAAATTGAAAAAATAGAATATTAAAATAATTATTTACTAAAAATTTATACAAAATAATAATAATAAATTAATAACAACTTTAATCTTAAAATTTTAAAATAAAATTAACAAAAATATAGGTAAAAAGTAAATTTTTGCAAAAAGACAGTGTGTAATTCAAACATTATTCTTAAACAATTTAATCTTAAAATGTTTACTAGAGAACTATAAAAGAGAGAAATTTTATAAATGTTTCACTTTTAAATATTATTCTTACTTATGATATAAATATTAATTTTTTAATTTTTTAAAAATATTATATATTAATAGTTAGAATTTGAATGAGGTTTTATTAATATATACAACTTCCACATGTTGATGGTAGGTTAACATCCTCTACAGGTTATTTTAAACATAACACATAATAACAAAAGGACAGTAATTTTTTTTTATTAAAAGTATTTTTAAGATAAGTTGTTTTATTTTCTAATCAATATCCTTAAATATTAATGCAACATAGTAAGAGATAAAACAAAAAAAGGGAAAAATATGATTTTTTAATAAAAAATACAATATCATCCTATACTTGAAGTTGGTTTAACAAAAATAAAATGGATTTTTAGTCTAAATAAAAATATAGATGACACTAATCTGCACATGAAATATATGGTGGAAGTTTGCAATTCCCATTTTTATTTAATAGAAATAAAAACATTAATGAATATTATATTATTTTCTATGGGAATAAATCAGTCTCGCAGTTAGTTGTTTATACACTTGTGAGATACCAGAAAGAGTAAAAAAGAATGATCCGAGTATTGTAAGTTTCTTCTGAGAATGTGCTTTCTATTCTTTGAATAAATTCTAGGTTTCTGGATGCTTAAAAAAGTATGCTTCAGAACGTGCAAGCCTTTGTGTAGAAACGTGAATACCAACCCCTTTCCTTTTTTCCCTCTTGGACCCAAATCAATAAAACTAATAATCAACTTAAAAATAAAATAGAATAGAAATTAAATGAAGAAAAATCTGGAAAGGCTTACAAAATGTTATCTCTAAATATATAAATTTAAATATATATTTAAAAAAAATTTAAAAAATATATTTACTCATCAATCTTTAAACATATTTATATATTATTATTAAATGATTCTTTAATTTAAGATTTATTTTTCTTCAGGAATCTTTTTGTAATAAAAATATTAAAAAAATTCTTACAATAAAAATAAATTATAAGTTAATTAAACCAGTAATATTATGCCATGTAAAAAGGCATGTAATACTCCTCAAACGTAATAGCACCAGAACAAACATTTAAAATAAAAAGAACTTGGACAAAAGTTAAATTTAAGAGTTTTATATTAAAAATTAAAAAGGAGTCAAATTTACTAAATTTTAATAGTATAAAAATTCATTTAACTCAAAAAAAATTAAAAGACTAAATTTATACATAATCTAAATTAAACAACTCAAAACATATAATTAAATTATTTATTAATTTAATGTATGATTTTAGAAAAATAAAAGAGTTGTAAAGAAAAATAAAATATGATAATATCTTTAATACATACCGCTCATGTCTGTATTTTGAAAGTTAATTTTAAAAAAATTATTTAATAATTATTTTTATTTGAAAATTTTTAAATGTAAACTATTTTTTATATACTTTCTAAAACTTATACTAATTTATATTTTCAAATTTTTAAGAAGAATTTTTTCAATGTTTTTATTTTTTTTATTTCTTTCTTTTCTCTTCAATTTTTTTTATCACGATAAACAAAATAAAATTAAAATTACATAAATATTCTAAAATAAAAAGAATTACATAAATATCCTAGTGTTTAAAAGAAGATGATTTAAAACGATTTGTAGTGAACATTAAACATATAAAACAATTTGAATCGACTTAAATTGACTTTGATTAACTGATTGATATTTAGTTACAAATTTCTATTCTAAAGTGAAAAAAACAAGAGGCTCTTGCATTAGGAACAATAACCGTAAAAAAAAATAAAATTCATTTCCCATTTTCTTGCTAGGTTGATTTAGCTTAGCTTAGTACGGGAGCTCAATGTAAAACTAGAAGAATATTCTCATTTCATTCCATCAGTTCGGATCTATTTAAGTTGCTATGAGAGTTTGATGTTTTTTCTGGTAATGCGCTCACTAGCACGAAAGTCATATCACTTATTTGTCTTCTAGTGGGCGATACGAGAATCAGCAGTCAAAGCTGAATTCGCAGCAAAAGTTGTTAGGACGAAAACGAAACTTTTATAAAAAAAAGTAACAGCCCAGAAGTGACTGCATTCACCTAAGGTGTGCACCATGAGAAGAAAGAAAGTCTTTAAACCAAGATACCATGAATCTGCTATGATCTGTCTCATGAGATTTTCGGACCCTTTGAAAGAGCATGTCAAAAAGAAGAACAAATTATTAACCAAGCAAGCATTCTCGTTACAGTGCAAAATGGCTCCTCTATGCAGAAAGAGAAAATGATCTCTTTTTTATTAAGATTCCTAACAAAATTATAACGAGGTAACTGTAAAGTAAATTTAAATTAACTTCCACACAACACTAAAATTGATTAGAATCAACTTCTATAATAGGAAATACAATGCAGTTCCAGTGAATTAAAGTCGATTTAAATTGTCTTATATGTTCAGAGTAAATTATTTTAAATCGTCTTCTTTTAAATAATAAACAAAACATTTGTAT